CCTAACTAATGAAGGCAGGGACTTCCTAGGCCACTGTAAAGGCATCAGCTAAGTCTCCGGGTAAGCGATGGAGCTGGTGAGTCCACAGCAGCTTCACGCGATCGCAGCAGAGTAAAGGAAGGAGCCACTGGCCCATCCTGCAGGTCCCTGGATTCTCTCGGCTCTGCACTGAAGGGTTTGGATCTGCCCTGTGGTTCTCCCTTCCACGCCCTTGCCTCATCTCATGTGCAGAAAGGGAGAGCGTCCCAGATTCTCCCAGAATGCACTGAGACGAACCGAGTCAGGCAGCGTGACCAGAGCTTATTGTTAGTATTCGTCTCCCAACAGCAGGGTATCATGATGCCAGGTGCTGTACGAACAGAGAGAGAGCTCCTGCCCTGAAGAGTTTGCCTGCGAAACAACACAATGATTTGGGAGAGGAAACTGAGGCACGAAGCAGGGACGTGACTTACTCAAGGCCATGCAGCAGAGTCAGGAATAGAACCCAGGTCTCCTGACACCCAGTTCAGTGCCCGAACCACTGTCTTGATAACACTGCAGCTTGGCTGCTGTAATCCTTAGGCAGTGTGACCTAGTGGATAATGGACTGGACTGGGATTTAAGAGACCTGAACCCTGCCACCTGGTCTGCTGGGTGACCTTGGGCAAGTTTCTTCCCTGATCCGTGCCTCAGTTTCCCTCTCTATATAGAATGGGGGTAATGATACTAACTTCCTTTGTAAAGCATTTTGAGACCTACTGATGACCAGCTCTAGATCAGAGCTACGTATTGTTATTTAATGAAGATTTTCTGTCAGATCTCACTGGGATGGGTCCTGTTTTGTAAATGCCTTTTCTGGGCAATTTCTCCCCTTCCTCACCCCCAGCTGTTGACCCTGCCTGAAATGAAATATAGTGAAGAACCCTGGTTAATGCAGCCACAATGGGCAATCATCTACGTAGTAAATAATATTCCTACTTCCACTGCTGACTATGAGAGTTGGGATTCAAAGCGACATTCCTTTATGAATAGTTTACACGTACAGAACTCCTTTCAAGTGAAGATTTCAAAGCACCTTACGTGGGTGAATTAAACCAGTGTACTTATTATAATTATTAGTTATTATGATGATTATTAGCTTTCCTCTCAGGTAGGCCAAAATTATTAACCCTGGCATTTTACAGGGCTGTGCAGTGAGCTGACCAAGGTGACACAGGGGGTTACTAATAGGATTAGGAAGAGAACCAAGGAGTCCTACGTCCCAGTCCCCTACTTTGACCAATATGCCAC